ACAGACAACCTCTCGTCAATATGCGTTTTTCGCATTGCATTGCTGCAAAAAACGCATAACAAAAACGGACGAAATGCGAGCAATGTTACAACAATGTCAGGACGCACTTTGGATTCCTTATAAACAGCCCGCTTTAAAGCAGGCTGGTTTAGGGCAAGGGCGGAGTATTGCCCTTTCAGTGATTCATAAAAATAAGTTTTTTTAGCGCTTACTGCTTTCTGAATGTACCACAAGCAGTGACTTTTTAATTAATAAGCATGATGACTCTCGAAAGAACTCACAGCTGGACAATACAATCATGGTCTGTGTCATTGACCTTTTTGTCGATGACGCATGCCACAGCGTACGTTGAGACGTTATGTCTCATTGATGTTTGGCGAAATAACAGATTCTAAGAGGTAGCAAAGGAAAGTGAGATGCCTGGTTCCAGGAAGCCGGTTCCAGCGCAGATTTCACTTGGAGAGCTCGAAATCAGTTTTCAAATTTTTTCCTGTTTATTCGTGGCGCCAGAACTACCCATGATATCACCATTATTCGGGTGCCGTAGTTATTCGTGTTACCACAGTTATTTGGACCGCCACAACTGCTTGTGGTATCAGAAATATTTGTGGTATCACAATTATTCGTATTACCTTAGCTGCTCGTGGCAAGACAGCTGTTTGCGGTACCGTAACTATTCTTCGCGCAACAACTGTCCATAGTACCATCATTATTCGTAGTTCAAAATTTACTCGTGGTAACATAATTGTTCGTGGCACAGCATCAGTTCATGGTACCACAATTATTCTCAGTAAGACAGCTGTTCGTGGAGCCACAACTATCCGTGACTCTACAGGTATTCGCGGTTCCGCAACTACTCTTAATGTCACCATTATCCGTGGTTCTACAAATATATGAGCCGCCGCAGATACTGTCACGAACGCAGTCACTTCTTGGATATCGCTCTAGCATGAGAAAGCATCTGAATTCTAAGACTTTGCCTTAGCTTTTCCAAAGTTACCTTAAGCATTTGCTTGGTCTGTTTTGATGATGAATTAGAGTTGTACTGGTGTCTCATTTTAAACCAAAGGCATGAAGCGCTCAACAAGTGAGAGTTTTTATAGCTCAGACTCGGACCCACTTCTGCTTCTCAATCAAGACAGCCTTTTCACTTTGCATGGTATCATGCCGGTGGGCATTAATAATTGATACCCGAGTTAGTGATTTTCCTGCCAAAACTTCCCACGGCTTTACGTAAGTACCACACATACCTGGGCGCTGAATTTGAAATTTTTAGCTTGCACATGCATGGGGATTATCCCTACAAAGTTTCAGCCCCTTACATTGTCTGGTTGCCGAGATTCCTTTCCCGCTAAAAAATTTGTAAATTTTCTCAAGGTGCCCGTGCGCGGCCCCAGGCGTGCGCGGAGGATGGTATTAAAATGGGAGGATCGCGCATTGTCTGGGCACATATTCTCAAAGTTTCAGCCTTCTACCTTTTCTGGTTCTCGAGGTGAAAGCGGGTATCAAAAGTGCGAACACACAGACACACAGACACACACACACACAGGCAGCCTCATCCCAATACACGCTTTTGCAATTTGCAAATATGCAAAAACGTTTAAAAGTGATATTACGTAATACATAATAAATGTTAATAATATTAATAAATGTTAATAATAAATGAAGCGATAAATGATGTCCAAAAAAACAAGAAAAGTGGCTTTTTACACTATTATTATTAAACAATTTAAACCCAGGCTGGAACTCGGCGTTTGGAAATATTCCAGTAACCTCACTTAACAGTAGACAACCACACTGGCTCTGCGGGTGATTTTGACATTCCTAGTTAATGTGAGTGCGTCTCACTGTAGATTCCTGAGAAGCAAATTATTAAGATGTCTTTTAAAACAAGATGCCTTCTACGCCAGATGTGTGCATAAATCAGTGGGAAGAAAAATCCCAGTTCATCGAACTCACACCAAAAGCTGCATGAAAAAGCAAAGGTTCTGCAAGTAAGACCATTCAGATATACCAAAGCACTTGTCAGATTGCTGGCTCAGTGAGTATTCGTTGACGAGAGAGTGTTCTTTGCATTCCTGGGCAACATTTACTCGACCATCCACTCGTTGTCACATTCATACCAAAGGTATGTGGTAGGTGACATCCCGTGCGTCAGAAATTTGACGCCAAGACGGGGCACGTCTAGCGTCTTGTATTGCCTGAGGCAATGAGTCCTGCGCTGCAAATCCGGCGTGGCGATCCCACTACCGGGTTTCAGTTGTAGGCTGTTGATGTGTATTTGGTGCTTGGTTTTGTCAGTCTGCGGTTGTTTGGTTGGTGAAATGTGGGGATGGGGAAGCGGGAGGGAGAGGGGTTTGGGAGTGGGGAGGTTGTGGGGGGG